TTTTATAACTATCTATTGCCTGTGAAGTGAATTTTCTTTTTATCTTTTTCTTTTTTATGTAGAGATAGAGTCTCTGTCGCCTCGGCTGGAGTTCAGTGGCGCAATCTCAGCTCACTGCAATCTCTGCCTCCTGAGTTCAAGTGATCCTCCTACCTCAGCTGCCCTAGTAGCTGGCACTACAGGTGCACACCACAAATGCTTGGCTAATTTTTTTATTTTATTGTATTTTTAGTGGAGAAGGGAGTTCACAATCTTGGCCAGGCTGGTCTCCAACTCCTGACCTCAGGTGATCCACCTACCTCAGTCTCCCAAAGTGCTGGGATTACAGGCGTGAGCCACCGCACCCAGCCTGTCACTTCTTTTTGGAGAATAAAACAGATTGAGTCTTGTGCCAAAATGCAGGGGATAAAACAAAATATTATACACAATAATAGACTGGTTTTCTACATACCAATATTAACCATTTAGAAAACCAAATTGAGAAAAATTACACTTATATAGTGACAAACATACATAAAATATCTAAACCTAAATGATTGGAGCAAGATGGTGGATAGATCCCATGCCCCACTCAACATTCCATTGAACTGGTAAGAAAATGTTATCAACGGTCAATTTTTAACAGTAGAGGAAAATAGGAAAACAGGTCAGTGGTCCACCAGAAATATTGAAGCATTCCTGGGAGACAGAGTAGATGGGATCAGACTGATAGAGAAACCCAAGAAGACAAGACCACAGCTCAAATCACCGTAGGAAATCTGTTTGTTTTTTGAGACAGAGACTTACTCTGTCGCCCAGGCTGGAGTTCAGTGGCCTGATCTCGGCTGACTGCACCCTCTGTCTCCCAGGTTCAAGTGATTTTCCTGCTTCACTCTCCATTGTAACTGGAATTCACAGAGGCCTACCACCACGGCAAGCTAATTTTTGTATTTTTAGTAGAGACAGGGGTTTCACCCAATTGGCCAGGCTAGTCTCCAACTCCTGACCTCAAGTGATCTGCCTGCCTCGGCCTCCCAAAGAGCTGACATTACATCATGGGACACCGCGCCAGCCCAGGAGATGCTCCTTGTAACAAACCCTCTGAAAAACTCCAAACCCTGAAACAAAAAAACACGGAGCTGGAAAGGGCCTTAGGATAATCATCAGGTAGGTTAATTTAAAAGTTCATTTGAAACATCTGAATCAGCCAGATTCCCCTCCAACACCACAGACAGATTGACTGGCAGTGGCCATTTTTGCCTCTAAGATGAAACTCTGATAATTGTTCATTAAAGAAAGTGAAGGCCGGGCGAGATGGCTCACACTTGTCATCCCAGCACTTTGGGATGCTGAGGCAGGAGGATTGATCCAGATCAGCCTGGGCAAAATAGTGGATGTCATCTCTACAAAAAAATACAAAAACTAGCTGGGAGTGGTGGCATGTGCCTGTAGTCCCAGCTAGATTGGAAGCTGAAATGAGAGAATCCCTTGAGCCTGGGAGATCGAGGCTGCAGTGAGCTGGACTTGCATCACTGCACTCCAGGCCTGGGAGACAGAGTGAGATCCTGTCTCAAAAAAAAAAAAAAAAAAAAAAGTAACGTATCAGAACTTGGTGTAACTTCAGCCCTTTACAGTAACAAGGACAAAACCACATTTGTGGAGAGGAGACCATGTTCACTCTTTATCCACGACAGACAGATAGTCGGGAGCTTTATATACCCAAAGAACCTAAGGAAAAATGCTCCCTGTCATAACTCATAATCTTCCAGCCACGCTTCCTTGCACCTGCCTTGTGGGCTGGGGGACCCAACTTATGGATCCCATCATCCCAGGGGGAAAGAAAAATCAAATCCTTCAGTATCTCTTTTGGGGTACCCTCTCCTCTATTTGCATGGAGGATAAGACACTCAATATGTAGTAGCCGAATGTCACATTTGTGTAATACAGAACTATGTTGGGATAAAATAGAATTTATTTCCTCTGAGACACAGGTAGAGGTACGTCCACACTGACCTGAGTGGCAGCCACGTCTTCCTGCAGTGCCAGGCAGGGCATGCTCACAGATCTGGGGAACTTCTGCTGCTCCTGGAGCCCCACAACCTCCTTCCTGGCACCTTGTCCCTCTGGTGGCTCTGACAGCCCACAGTTGGCCTTGGATCTCCCCTGCTTCTTTGCCTGCCCTTCTCCCCACCATGCATATCTGTCTCCCACTGTCCCCACTATGACCATGACTGCCTCTCCCTCCCTGCACTCTCTCTCTCCTACGGCTCCTTGTCTTCGGTAAATGAAACCACAGCCTCTACATTGTGGCTGGGGGCAGAACCCGGGACTTGTTCAATTCTCCCTCCCTCCATCACACACACCTGTCCTCCTTAATGTTTCTAGAGTCAGTGAGCTCCAAACTCAGCTCCTCCTGCCCCTGCCAGCTGTGGGACCTGTGACAAGACACCTACCATCTGTCTGGGACTCCGTCTCTCATCTATCATATAGGCATAATGATGATAGTGTCCTCCTTCCAAGGCTGGGGAGAACCAGGAGGCCAAGGTGATGGGTTATGGACAGTCAAAACAGCTCCAATCCTGCCTCCACCTGGGGCTGGTGTTTCAAGTCTGTTGTGTGTGAATGGAGCTTTGAGGTCTCCATTCACACACAATGATTTGTTCTAAAATAGACTCCCCTCTGCCCTTCCCTTCCCCACAACAGTTTCACCTCTGCACTGTGCCATGGTACCTGTGAGAAAGAACTGTCCCATTCCCCAATCATCGTCCCCACCCCAGCCCCCAGGCCCTTGGTTGGTGAGACCCTTGATGGGCAGTCTCATGCTTCTGTCCAGGGGACTTTCCCACCGTTGCTCCCCTGCATGGAGACTAGGTGGACTCTTCTATTCCCTTCCATCACAGGGTCTACAGTGCACACATCTTCCTCATTCCTCCACATTCCCCAGATGACGATTTCATCTCTGTCTCCTCCCACATACTCCCCAGTGGACCATCCCGGACCTTGAACCCGAAAATCATTCAGAGAGCAAAGGCCAAGATGCCCAACCACCTGCTGCAGAATCCTGCTCCAGAACTGAAGTGTATGGTCTCTATCAAAATAAAAACTGGAGGCCAGGCACGGCGGCACATGCCGATAATCCCAACACTTTAGGAGACCAAGGTGGGAGGATCGCTTTGGCCCAGGAGTTCAAGACCAGCCTGGGTAACATAGAGAGATTTTCTTGACAAAACCTTAAAAAAAATCAGTGGGTCATGATGTTGCATGCCTGTAGTCACAGCTTCTCTGGAGGCTGAGGTGGGAGGATCGCTTGAGCCCACGAGTTTAAGGCTGCATTGAGCTATGATCATGCTACTGCACTCTAGCCTGGACAGAGCAAGACTCTTTCTCTAGAAAAAACAATCAAACAAACAAACAAACCCAATAACTGGAAACATCCTCCACTAGAATGGTGGTCAGGAACATCTGTCTGCCTTGTTCCCTGATGTCTCTCCAGCACCTAGAACAGCGCTCAGCATGAGGATGCACTCATTAGGTTTCTGTTGAATAAATGACTCCTTTGACGCAGCAATTCCACTTCTAAGAATCTTTTCTAAAGAAATACACATTGTGCACAGCTCTGTATGCACAATAATGAGAGGAGCAAACAACTGGGGAACTTTGCAAAGTTTTATTAACTGTTAGTGACTGATACAGGGAATCAGATGAGGGGAGTGCATGCTAAACAGGAAACAGAGTAAGGGGGGCTTGACGAGGACGCATGACAATGGGGAAAAGCAGATGGGAGATGCTTATAGTGGTACTTAGTGTCTGTGTGTGTGTGTGGTTTGTAAATGCAGAGGAGAAAATCTGACATTAAACACTCAGACTTGTCCTCAGTAGTCACATCTCGGGGGAGAGGAGAGCAGTGTTGTTCTATGCGGAGATTACCTGACTATACTTGTTTTCTAAGGTATGTGCGTGGATGCACAAACCGAAATATGCGTTAAGTATATCTTGCTTATCAATGAAAACGCTAATATCTAACAGAATGGCACACTGTAAGAATATACAACGGAAATGCTACCATCGAAGTCTTGGCACACTAAGAAAAATAACACTCAACTTTTCACTGTTGTGAACACTTGCTTTAACTTCCTATACACCTGATAATGAGGGGTCTGCAGCCATGCCCGGGTTCGTGAAAGGTCACCAAGTTCTGCTTCTCATCATCGGCATGTGTCATATCTCCGAGGCTGAGGCGAGAAGAGAGAAGGAAAGTAAGTGGCAGTGAGTTCCCTCTGCGTCACAACTTAATCTCATCTCCTCCCGACCTGCAGATCCTGCACGCTCCGATTCTGCCCTACCTCAGGACCTGCACAGGCCTTCCACTGTTCCGCGAAGTGAACCATCTGCACATGCCACAGTGACTTCCTCGCCTGGTTTATCCATTCCTAGGCTAGAGGAAGGTGTGGCCCACGTATCAGGGCTGACCTGGGGTTTGGGATCCCACAGCTTCCTGGGTAGGGAGGATCCCTGGATATACAGGGCAGGAAGTAGAAAGAGCTTGCAAAGGCCGGGCATGGTGGCTCACGCCTGTAATCCCAGCACTTTGGGAGGCCGAGGCAGGCAGATCACAAGATCAGGAGACCGAGACCATCCTGGCTAACACGGTGAAACCCCTTCTCTACTAAAAATGCAAAAAAAATTACCCAGGCATAGTGGCGGGTGCTTGTAGTCCCAGCTGCTGGGGAGGCTGAGGCAGGAGAATGGCGTGAACCCAGGAGTCGGAGCTTGCAGTGAGCCGAGATCGTGCCACTGCACTGTAGCCTGGGCCACAAAGGGATACTCCGAGAAAAACACAAAACAAAACAAAACAAAACAAAAACATGGGAAATCTCATCATTCAGCCTCAATGCTGTACCCTAGAAAATTATGAGAAGGGAATGATTTGGAAAACAAGTGGTAAGATGGGATACCAGTACCACAACAGAATAGCACATCTGCAGGGATGTGGGGGATGAGCCGAAGGTTCACTTACAGAGTTACTCGTCATCTTCCTCAGGGTCGCTGATCTCTTCATAAATCACCAGCTGCTTTCTCTCACGCAGTCTGTGGGTCCAGGCATGTTTCCCTCTTTTGGGTCCTATGATGGGGAAGAGTTGGAAGATGAGGGTTGGGTAGGGTGGAAAGTGTTAGTCTCTGTTTTCTCCAAAAAAGTAGATGCCTCCACCCTCCCAAGTGCCATGGGCCTTCTTTATCCAGTTTTTCATTCTGTGGCTTAGAGTCTGAGACCTTAGACCCACAACAACACACACCAAATGCCAGTTAAAGTTTTAGCTTCTGGCTCCTTCCGTTGTCAAGCTTAGAGTCTCAACCTCTTCACTTATGGGGACATCCACCCATACCTCCTTTCATTCAGCATGTGTTTGTTAAGGGCACACGGGCATACATTTTTTTATTGCACCACATTTTCATAGTGTTTCACAGATGCTGCAATTTTTTTTTTTTTGGAAACTCTCATCAATTTTACACTTTTCCATTATTATTATATCTGTTATAGCGATCTGTCATCAGTGAGTTTTGATATTATTACTGCCATTGTTTTTGTTGTTTTTTAATCTTTTAAAATAATTTTACTTTTTACTTTTTTTTTTTTTTTTGAGACAAAGTCTGGCTCTGTCGCCCAGACTGGAGTGCAATGGAGCAATCTCGGCTCACTGCAACCTCTGCCTGCTGGGTTCAAGCGATTCTGCAGCCTCAGACTCCCAAGTAGTTGGGACTACAGGCGCCCATCACCACACCCAGCTAACTTTTTGTATTTTTAGTAGAGACAGGGTTTCACTGTATTAGCCAGGATGGTCTCAATCTCCTGACCTCATGATCGGCCTGCCTCAGCCTCCCAAAGTGCTGGGATTACAGGCGCAAGCCACAGAGCCTGTCCGTATTTTTTATTTTTGGGGTCCACAGTAGGTGTATATTCTTAAGGGGTACGTGAGATGCTTTGATACAGGCATGCCATGCATAATAATCACATCATGGAAAATAGGGTCTCCATGCCCTCAAACATTTATCCTTCTGTTACAAACAATCCAATTACTCTTATAGTTTTTATAAAACGTACAATTAAGTTATTATTGACTATAATCACCCTGTTCTGTGTAATTGTTTCGGGGGTACCAGGAACTGCACCCATAGAAGATGACAAACTTAATCGACCAATGTTGTGTGGTCTGACTGCTCCACCGATGAGCTGTTCCCCATCTCTCCTCCTTCTCTCGGGCCTCCCTATTTCCTGAGACACAGCAACACTGAAATTAGGACAATTAACAACCCTACAATGGCCGCGAATTATTCAAATGAAAGGAAGAGTCGCATGTCTCTCACTTTAAATCAGAAGCTAGAAATGGCTAAGCTTAGTGAGGAAGGCATGTGGAAAGCCAAGACAGGCTGAAAGCTCTGCCTCTTGCATCAAACAGGCAAGCTGTGAATGCAAAGGAAAAGTTCTTGAAGGAAATAATAATACTAATACTCCAGTGAGCACAGGAATAAGAAAGCAAAACAGACTTACTGCTGAAACAGGGAAAGTTTGAGGGGTCAGGATATTTGACGAAACCAGCCACAACATTCCCTTATGCCAAAGTCTAATTCAGAGCAACACCCGAACTCTCTTCAAGTCCATGAAAGCTGAGAGAGGTGAAGAAGCTGCAGGAGAAATGTGTGAAGCTAGCAGAGGGTGGTTCATGAGGTTTAAGGAAAGAAGCCATCTCCATAACATAAAAGTGCAAGGTGAAGCAGCAAACACTGACGGAGAAGCTGCAGCAACTTATCCAGAAGATCAAGCTGAGATCACTGTTGAAGTTGGCTACACTAAACAACAGATTTTCATTGTAGATAAAATAGCCTTCTATTGGATGAGATGCCTTCTAGGACTTTCATAGCTAGAGAGAATTGACTCCAACTTTAAAGAAGTTCCACTGTGGGTAAAATGCTATCCAATAGCACCACATACTACAGAGAAATCCTTCATGAAAGAGAGAGCTAATCGATGTGGCAAATTTCTTTGTTGTCTTCTTTCAAGAAACTGCCACAGCCACTCCACCCTTCAGCAACCACCACCTTGATCAGCCAGCAGCCATCAACACCAAGGCAAGACCCTCCACCAGAAAAAAGAGGTAGTCACTGAAGACTCAGAAGATTGTTAGCGTTTTAAACAATTATTTTAAAATTAAGGTATGTACATTTTTAGACATAATGTTATTACACACTTAGTAGACTACAGTATAGTGAAAACATAATGTTTTTATGCACTGCCAAACAAAAAAAAAAGTGTGTGACTCACTTGATTGCAGTGGTCTGGAACCGAATCTACAATATCTCTGAAGTACACCTGTATTGGGTATCAGGCATTGAGCTGAGTAAGATATTATCCCGCGTTATCAAAGATAGAATTGCTTGAGCACCTTTCATGTCATCAGGACTTCTAGATTAAATTTAATGCCTCCAAACAATTTATGAACTATGATTCTTTATTTCCATCTTATGGACTAGGAATCTGAAGCTGAGAAAATTTGGAAGACTTGCCCCAAGTCACGTGGCTTTTTATATGGATGACAACTCCAGTCTGTGTCTCTGGAAGTCATGTTTATCATCTCATCTGGAGTTGGGCAAGCTCCTCAGCCCAGCCTGGACCCAGGCTTGTCTGGGATCCACGCCACACACCCAGTCCCCACACCTCAACATAGCCAGGGAAGCCAGAGGGGTCGTTCCCAAATTATTTCCTCTTACCAGATCTCTTGTTAATCTTCTTAGAGGTACTTGGTTTTCCCGGTGGGCACAGCTGTTTCCCATCGTTCTGTGGGCCAGATGCTCCTGGCACTTCCTTCGAATCATTTCCTTCCTCTGCTGGCTTCTCGGGCATGATCTTTATAATGTGAAGGTCACAGATAAATAGTATCAGTCACATTTCTATAGTGCTTTAGAACTTACAAAGCATCTTCACATGCATTACCTCAATCAATGTTCTCAACAACACTGGAAGAGTTACACAGGCGTAAATGAGGAGAAACCTGGAAGGTTAGACGGGAAAGGAATGGCCTATGTGAATATGGTTTCCAGGGCTAGAATGCTTATCTTCACACTCTTTTAAGACTGACATTCTTGCAAACAGCAAAAATCTCCATGTAACTGAGAGTGTGGTATACAGAAGATTGGAAGAAGGACAGCATTCTAAGAATTCACAAGGTCTACAAAAGGAAGAGCTTCTATAAAATACAAGGGATCTCATATAAGCTCTTAGACAGCTGCTGGAGAGTAAATGTAAAAACATAGAAGGGAGACAAAACACTGCTGAAAAAGATGGTATTGGGAGATGAATACAGTGAAGGAAGAGGTAAAGAAATGGTTTGCTTAAATTAATCTAGGCAGCAAAGAAAGCAGTTATCAGATATGGCATACCACCCTACCAAGGCACCACCACTGAATGTGGAATTAAGTGAGGTGGTGCCCATACCAATTCTGGTTGCATTGGGATATTGGGATGTGTCACTGACCAACAACCTTAAGCTACCTTTTTTTTTTTTTTTTTTGAGACGGAATCTCGCTCTGTTGCCAGGCTGCAGTGCAGTGGCACAATCTCGGCTCACTGCAACATCCAACTCCCGCGCTAAAGCGATTCTTCCGTGACAGCCTCTGGAGTATCTGGGACTGCAAGCAGGCACGACCACGCCCCGCTAAGCTTTGTATTTTAGGTAGAGACAAGGTTTCACCATGTTGGCCAGGATGGTCTTGATCTGTTGACCTCGTGATCCACCCGCCTTGGCCTCCCAAAGTGCTGGGATTGCAGTCGCAAGCCACTGCGCCCCGCTCTTAATCTACTTTTTATTCAGCTTCCTCGCTTATGAAATAGTGAACAATACATATACAATAGGCTAAGGGAAACTCATCTCTCAGCTTGTAAACACTGTTTAAATATAGTAATAATAACAATCAATACCTTTCTGGATCCTTCTTTGAATTCGGTCTCCACACTGGCAACCCAACTCCCAGATCCCTTTACCCTCTAAACCAGAGTTGAATCTGCACTTGTGGGATCACTCACTCAGGGGCCTCCGAGGGATCCCCTGGGCTGGGACTGGGGTTTCCCAGATGCCCCAGGTGCAGACAAGGCCCTCAAGGAGCTCACAGTAGGGAGGGGTCAACTGTCAAAGGGACACTTAGGCCATGTGAGTGGCCCCAGTTACAGAGCAAAGGTCAGCTGGTCCTTCCTGTTGCGAGAGTGGGTGTCTCAACAGAAGCACCAGCAGGCCCTATGGGGTAAAGCCCTAGTGAGCAACATCTGAACTTCATAAACAAATGCAAACGTGAATGAGCTTTAAATGGCTTGGAGCTCTGGATTAGACTACCACTGCCACTGTGCCCCAGGAACATTCTTTAACATCTCTGTACCCCGATAGCCTCATTTTATTATGTTCCTGATAACTATGATCTATAACATGAACTACGATTCTTTACTTCCATTGCATGGACCAGGAATCTGGAGCTCAGAGAACTTAGAAGATTTGCACCAAGTCACATGGCTTTTGTATGGATGACAACCGAAGTGTGTGACTCTTTATTATTTGGAGATAACAACAGAAACAATGTCATAGAGGTCTTCTTAAGGATTAAATAAATTAAGCCATGTGAACTGCTTAAAATAGTATCTGGTATCACTATGAAAACAAAAGAAGTATTAAGGATCACAACTCTTAGTATTATCAAGCCGTCGATGCTACATCAGGTGTTGTGATAGACATGGGGGGAAGGAGGCAGTGAGGGCATTTTTTATATTCTCCCGCTCTTACCAGTGTTCACATCCTTGAAGAGACAAAGGTTCTCTGGTCCTTTAGATTTGAGAGATACTCACCTTCGGGATGATTCTCTGGAGCTTGCCGAAAGTCATCTGAGGACGTTCAACTGAAAGAGAATACATCAGAATTTTTCTTTGTTGGTAAAGATTTCCAAACTCTAGAGAGACTTCTGTCACATCAGGGTATTTTGCAGCGGAGGGTTATGAGTCCACTCATTACTGAGGAGTTATTTGAGATTTGCTTCTGAATTATGTTTAGTCATGGTTGGTGCATTTATCTGTGGCATCAATTCAGAATTTTCCATCTCATGGTTTATCAAATGGGGGTTAAACCCCATCACAGTCTCATCTTCTTCCATTACATATCTTTCACATTTTCCCAAATAACTAAATTGATTGTTTGGGGATCTGAACTGTATTCTCTCAAGATGTGCAACAACTGAAAAGCACTGTACACTTCAAATGGGTGAATCTTATGATATGTCGATTAAGCTGTTAAATGTGTGATGAACCATGGATGATTTAGTCCAGTGGCTCTGAAATATTTTCAGTATAAAGACACTCCTTTAATGTCAAAAACTTGGCAGATACTCAAGCACTGGATTTTCAGACCTCTTATAGTGATTGTGCGAGATGGTAGAATCTGGCCTGTTTAGTTGGGGCGTAATAGGTCTATTGGAGACAGTTTGGACATTCTGACCTTGTCTTATAATTGTGTGGTTAGAGCAGAAGAGCAAGCAAATACATATGTCCCCTTTATATTCCCGAAATATACAAAGATTTCTACCCAGTAACCTGTCGCTTTTTCACCCTATATTATCTCTCCTCACTGACAAGTGGGAAAACTCTCTGTGTGTTGGATGAGGGATCACTCTTTCAAACTCACCTCCCAGCTCACCGCAGAGAATCAGTTCTTTGGGAATGAGAAGGCTATTTGGTTTTGATAAAATACAGAAAAACAGTGATCTTTATTACATAATGTGTCCATCACCCTCACTCCTAAGATACCTATCCAATACCTACATGCTGTTAATGAAACAAACTCTGGAAGTTTTTGGCGGATCTACAGTTGTAACATTTTCTTTATTTCTTTCTTTTTTCTTGTAACATTTTCTTAACTGTCCTTTGATTCATTAACAGTGCTTAGGAAGAACAACATGTCCTTTAAAAAAGAAATATTTCAAACACAAAGAAAAGCATAGGGATTAATACTGAGTCCAGTCAGATCTCAACATCACCCCACAGCTATGTTAGGTCTGATTTATTTATTCAGAATATTAGAAAAACTACAAACAGGCCAGGTGTGGTAGTTCACATTTGTAATCCCAGCACTTTGGGAGGCTGAGATGGGTGGATCACCGGAGGTCAGGAAGTTTGAGACCAGCCTGGCCAACATGGTGAAACCCCTTCTTTACCAAAAATAAAAAAATTAGCTGGGTGTGGGGGTGGGCACCTGTAACCCCAGCTACTCGGGAGGCTGAGGCAAGAGAATCACTTGAACCCAGGAGGTGAAAGTTGGAGTGAGCTGAGATTGCCTTATTGCACTCCAGCCTGGGCGACAAGAGTGAACCTCCACCTCAAAAACAAACAAAACACACTATCAACAAGTCACGGCTGAAGCTGTCTGTGCAGCGCTCACCAATCCCTGCCTTCCCTCCTCCACTTACAGGCAGTCACCTTAATTTGATGGCTTTTTATTCACATTCATGTTTGTATACATTTACCATTTACTTATTATCTATAAAAATATATTATTCTTTTGCATGTTTTAAAATTTTATATGAATGGCCTCTGTAGTTAAGTTTCTGCATGCAATTTTTTTTTCACTCAGCCCTGATGTGTGTGAGGGAACAAATGCCTGAGGATCTTTCCCAGGTAGCTGAGCTGAAAAGCAGTTGGGTTTGAGGAGACTCTTTCCGGCCCCTTCCCATCTACTCACCTTGATCCTCGCGGTTACGGTCATTATCAGAATCATTCCCCTGGAAGTCTTCGGCCACTGTATTACGCATGAAAGGTGGGAGGGTGGCCTTGAAACCTAGAAAGAAGCAAAATGTTTATTCCTTAAGAGGCAACCTTAGGCCTGCCACGGTGGCTTATGTCTGTAGTACCAGTACTTTGGGAGGCTAAGGTTGGAGTATTGCTTGAGGCCAGGAGTTCAAGGCTGCAGTGAGCTATGATTGCACTACGGCACTCTAACCTAGGTGACAGAGTGAGACTCAAAGAAAGAAAGAAAGAAAGAAAGAAGAGAGAGAAAGAAAGAAAAAGAAAGAAAGAAAGAAAGAAAGAAAGAAAGAAAAAGAAAGAAAGAAAGAAAGAAAGAAAGAAAGAAAGAAAGAAAGAAAGAAAGAAAGAAAGAAAGAAAGAAAGAAAGAAAGAAAGAAAGAAAGATGCAAGCCGAGAGAAGGAAGGTAGGGACAGTGTGGGGATGCCGGGATGCCACAGAGACACTTGGACTCATCCGAACAGACGCCTAAGGGAGAGAAACGTGCAGGATCCTGGTCTGAGCTCCACTGTTGCCAGCCCTTGCCCTCAGCCCTGACGGGATACAAAAGAGCAAAACACCCAGAAGCTGCCTTGCAATTTTTCCCTGCACAAAAGGAAAACGTGGGGTACCTTCTGCAGTCTAAGAAGTAGCCAAAGCAGGAAAAGGGATGCTCATGTGTCCCCAGACTTGTCTGTACCTAGAACTTTCTGTTACCTAGTTTAGTCATGACCTCATACTTTCTCTTCATATACACATAGATTATTTTCTCTGAGGTTTTCATCTTTTCCCACTCTTTCTTAGGGAAGTATTTGGCAATATCATCAAAGGCCTACAGAAGAAAAGAAAAGGAATTCTGGCAGTGACTCAGCTAGGCATGTCTGCCATTCAGCTGGAGCCGCTTCCTGTGTGCTGGATCTGGGAAGTGGAGATGATAATTCGTCCTGGTTGATGTCATGGCTAGCTGAGACAACATCAGGGACCTACCCTAGCTTCTCCCCTGCCACACAGTAGGGCTTTAATGCTGCTGGCTGGCTCTCGTCCCACCTTCCTGAATGGAATAAGAGTCACCAAATATAGTGCACTGTCACAGACTTGTCTCCAGGGATGCTAGGTGATGACAGAGCGAGGGTGGGAGGCTCCCAAGGGTCCAGATCTCCCCCAAGACCCTGCTCCTTGTCCCCAGTATCTCTATCCTCCCCTCCTCAGAAACCTGCTCACCCCACACTGTCTCCTGGGTCACTATTATACCCTCTCCAGGTCACCTCACCTTTTGTATCTTCTCTGGTATTTGAGCACCAACCCTAGGTCTCCTTGCAAAGGCGTCGTCTCCATTCATGGCACCAGGAGCAGTCTGACCTGCAAGAGAAACAGCCTGAGACTTTCCAGCCACAGGACCTTTGGTCCTCTGGAGGGAGAAATCAGTGAAGGCCGGCCACACTCAGTCACCTGGAATCAGGTGCTGCATTTCTCCATCCGGGGCTTATCTCTCCCTAAGTAAGGACATGGGGAGAAGTCAGATGTAAACAGGGAGCCAGGGGTCTCTGGAAGAAGTAGTGATTGGGGATGACAGGTTTCCTATGGGCAAAGCCGCCTTGAGTCTTTGGGAGGGGGTTGGCTACTGTTGTTAGTAGTTTCCCTGGGGCTAGGCTTACCCTGAAAGATGTACAGACCCTTGTTCCGGAGGCAGGGATGTGACTGTGTAATTGTATTCAGTGGGGGCATTCTGACACCCCCACTCAATAAATAAAGGAAGGGAAGTGAGTCCCAGAGACAACATGGTCTCCCTGGTGATGGATCCAATCAGGCAGAGGGATGGGGGGTTCTGTTCTGTTGAAGAGAAATGAGCATGGCTAATATGAATGGATTTAGAGGGTATTACTGGGTGATCTGTACATTATTAGAAGAAGAGAGGTAGAATATCTCAGACTACAAGAGCCCACCAACACTAAGAGAGAATGTGGGGAGTTTTAAGATGCAGCAATCAGCCAGACGCCATGGCACACACCTGTAATCCCAGCACTTTGGCAGGCTGAGACACACAGATGGCTTGAGCCCAGGTGGTCGAGACCAGGCTGGGAAAAATAGCAAAACCCTCGTGTTTACAACAAACACAAAAAATTAGCTGGGGGTGGTGGAGCAGGCCTGTACCACCCCAGCACTTTGGGAGGCCAAGGTGGGCGGATCGCTTGAGCCCAGGAGCTTGAGACCAGCCTGGTCAATATACCGAAACCATCTCTACTAAAACACCAAAAAAAAAAAAAAACTTAGCCAGAAGCGACGGTGGTGTGTGGCCTGTAGCTCACAACCTAGCGAGAGGATCACTTGATCCAGGAGGAAAAGATTTTAGTGAGCTTTTTTTTTTTTTTTTTTTTTTTTTTTTTTTTTTTTTTGAGACAGCCAGTCCTCTCTCTGGTTGGCCAGGCTGGGAATGCAGTGGTGTGGATCATGGCTTCCTGCCAACCTGCCGCCTCATGGGTTGCAAGTAGATCCACCCCAGCACCGCTGTGGCCTCCAAAACTGCCCTGGATTTACAACGCGTGGCAGCCACCATGCCTTGCCCAAATTTCTTAAGTTACTGTGGAGATTCTTAGGAAAATCCTGTACTTGAAAGGTTAGAAACTGACAGGAAGGATTTGAGATGCGACTACCGTGCATAGTACATTCCTTATTTAAAACTAGATAACCAATGGCACCGGCGAAGAGGAGGTTGTTGGAAGGAATGTTAAAAAAAATCACGCATCTTACTCTGATTTTGGAAGATCGAAGAGAAATCAGAGCGTGCTACTTCCGTGGCATCAAAGAAAAGTTAGGCATCTGTAACTCTGAACTTAAGTAGCCCAATCCCTGATGCTTTAGCAAAATCAGAGTCCCCCCCTTTGAGAAGTTCTTTCCCCTTGACTACTATGTTGCCAACACCTTCTTATCCCGCCTTACTGTCTGACTTTCTGATTTGCCAGGATGGATTCACTAACGCCCTGATTCCTCTCTGCATGACATTGCAGAATATTGTTCCTCTTCCAGCCCAGTTTTGGTTGCCCTGTGCAGAATGGGTGGGGTCCTCCACCATCAGGGGAAATTGATCTCTCTGAGACTGTCCCTATCTTTTAAAAATCTGTATTCTAGTCTGGAACTGGTGAAGAAAAAAAATAGTCAGGATCTGTGATTTTTCTACTTGAAAGACACAATGTTTACCACTACACGATTGTGCAAACTTGCTGTGACTTAGTTGTGCTTCATTTTCAGTGCTTCTACATCTGTTGCAACTAAAAAATCAGTCGAGGCCCCAACCTCTGAATTACATTTTGAAGATCTAGTGTGGTGTGCGAATTACCTCCTATTACCTGTTAGCCCTGGAGGAGGAAAGGATGTACTTTACTTATGTGATGTGATTGTGGTATTGGTACGATCCGCCTTGGCCAATCTCCTTCCTTCGTTCTTCGGCTACAGGCCTGTGAACCACCCCCACCCCCACTAATGATTTTTTGTTTTTTTATTTTTTAATAGAGGACCATTTCCCGTATGTTGGCCCGGCTGGCCTCAACGCGTCCTGGGCTAAGGGATCCTCCAGCCGCCAGCCTTGAGCAACTACAGGCATGCACCAACCCCTGCCCATGCTTTTTTTTTTTTTTTTTTTTTTTTTTGGGTGGAAGCCAGGTTTTCCACTATGGTTGACCAGGCGGCCTCAATTCTCCTTGGGCTCAAGGGATCCTTCACCACAGGCCTCGGGGACTATAGGCATGAACCCCCCTGCCTCAATTTTTTTTTTGTTTCTTTGTTTGTTTGTTTCTTTAGTGGAAACTGGTTTCGCTATGTTGCCCAGGCCGGCCTCAATCTCCTGGGCTCAAGTAATGCTTTCCCCTCAGCCTCAGGACTACAGGCATGTGCCATTCTGCTCTGCTCTTTTTTATTTTATTTATTTGTTTGTTTATTTATTTATGTATTTATTTCTTTAGGAGAGACAGGCTTTTGCTATGTCGGCCAGGGTGGTATTGACCTCCTGGGCTCAAGCCATCCTCCCACCTTGGCCTCCCAACGACAGGGGTGAGCCATCCCACCCACGCAATTTTTTTGTTGTTCTTGTTGTTAGTAGAAATGGGGTTTCGCTATGTTGACCAGGCTGGCTTTAACCTCCCAGGCTCAAGCAATCCTCCCACCTCAGCCTCCTGACTACAGGCTCACACCATTCTGCCCCCACTAATATTTTTAATTTTTCTAGTAGAGACAGTTTTGCTATGTTGTCCAGGCTTGTCTCTACCTCCTGGGCTCAAGAGATCCTCCTGCCTCGGCCTTGGGACTACAGGCATGCACCACCCTGCCTTTTGCTATGTTTCCCAGGCTGGTCTTCACCTCCTAGGCTCACTTAATGATTTGAACCAGGGATGCAGAGGTTGCATTGTGCTGAGATCACACCACTGCACTCCAGCTTGGGCGACAGAGCAAGACTGTCAAATAAATAAATACATACAAACATGAAAGGAAAAGAAAGAGAAAAAGAAAGAAAGAGAGAGGGAGGGAGGAAGGGAGGGAGGGAGGGAGGGAGGAAGGAAGGAAGGAAGGAAGGAAGGAAGGAAGGAAGGAAGGAAGGAAGGAAGGAAGGGACAGACCAGCTGAATCTCCATAAAAACAGTAAACTTTGTAGTATATTAACTTACCCTCATCCCATCTCGTGCTCCCAGTTTGGTTCTGTTCATTGCTGATGAAATACAGATAGGATTGGCCAGAACTGGTAGATGACTAGCTGTTGATCATGAAAATGTCAGACCTGATAGAGCCTCCTTGGAAAGGCCCTTTCTGGAGGCTGATACTCCGTGCCTGTAGTACTGTGGGACAATGGCATAATGCTGACCATTAAGCCAGGCGAACATGGGCCTGCATACAGTGGCAATCCACTAGGCTGCTGAGTGGGCATCACAGCCCTTGAGGTTTTAGAAGAAGAAAACCTTGCTGAAAATGCAGAAAAAAAATGGGTATTCTCTTGAGAAATTAACCCATGAAGCTACCTTCTGATGCTGTAACTGCTGTAAGAGGAGAAGAATTATTGTATGTATGTGTGTATGTATGTATGCATATATGTATGTATTTAGTCAGAGGTTCACTCTGGTTGCCCTGGATGCAATGGTGTGATCCTGGCTCACTGCAACCTCTGCCTCCTGGGTTGTAGCAATTCTCCTGCCTCAGCCTCCTGAGTAGCTGGGATTACAGGTGCACAACACTATGCCCGGCTAATTTTTGTATTTTTAGTAGAGACAGGGTTTCACCATGTTGGCCAGGCTGATCTCGAACTCCTGACCTCAGGTGATGCACCCACCTCGGCCTCCCAAAATGTTGGCATTACAGGCGTGAGCCACTGTGCCTGGGAGGAAAAGAATTATTAATTGCTATTGTTATTAAAGAAACCAAAGATTGCTATGCTTCGAAGGTGTGTCTACGACTTCAAGATTATCCACTTCTGGCCAAGCCAACCCATGGTGACATCATCAGGTTTCGCCTCTGCTGGGGGTCAAAGAGAATGAGATTCGAGAGTCCAGTGAAATCATTAACAAGACCATCTTGTCGTTCTGAGGGTAGCAGCTGTTTTCAGTGGTCGCTGGGAGCCGGCTGGATTAGGCGGTCCTGTAAAAGCTCTGCTCTTAATGCGGGCACATTCCACTCCATGTGTCTTCAAAATCTTTTTGTGGAGTATCTATTTTTTTCAGTTAACACATAATAGAACAACGTTTATGCAGCTGCTGTTTGCTTTGTAATGTAAGAGAATGTAATGGCATCTGAATGGTGAAAGTGTTTTGATGTGTATATGTGCTTTCTAAGGTTAAACGCATCTACATATACAGATAGCCTTTAAATCACATCCTTCAGTATACTTTATATATGTTTTTATAATTTCCTTGGTGGTATAAATGTTTTGTATTTGAAAAGGTTATCTCTAGGGAATTACATAAAAGACTTCACCTTATAAAGTCAAATCATTGTTGTCATTGAATTTTAGGAAGGATGAATGGTTAAGCATATAAGAAATACTAATATTAAGTAAACTTCATGTTGGCCAACACCAGGATGTATTCTATGGATGTCATTATTTTCAATTAAGAATTAGTGTTTAACATTCCTAAATTGTTTTGAGTGCTTGATTATAATTTGTAAAAAAAAAAAAAAAAGTTTATTTTTAATATTTCTTTAAATTTAAAATAAAGCTTATATTTCAGAAAAAAAAAAGATACAGAACATGGCCAGGTGCAGTGGTTCACGCTTGCAATCCTAGCACTTTGGGAGGGCGAGGTTGGCAAATTGCTTGAGGTCAGGAGTTCGAGACCAGCTTGGCCAACATGGAGAAACCCC